CTGGAGCCTGTTTCCGATTCTGTGTCTCCCTCTCTCTCTGCCCCTCCCCCGTTCATGCTCTGTCTCTCTCTGTCCCAAAAATAAATAAACATTGAAAAGAAAAAAAGGAGGCATAAAACTATTTGAAGAAAAAATGGCCAAAAGTTTTCTAAATTTGGTGAAAACTATTAATCCCACAGATTCAAGAGACTCAACACATTCCAAACAGAATAAACTTTTTAAAGCTATACAAAATACATCATAACTGAATTGCTAAAACTTCTTGATAGTCTTAAAAGCAGCCAGAGGGGAAAAAAGACTCATTATATACAGATAAAGACTTTGTTTCCAAAATTAAGCAAGCCAGAAGGCAATGGAACATCTTTTTTTCTTCTTTTTCTTTTCTTTCTTTTTTTTTTTTTTTGAGTGAGTGCACGTGTGTGCAAGCAGGACCGGGCAAAGGGAGAGGGTGAGAGAGAATTTAAGCAGGCTCCACGCTCAGCACAGAGCCCAACGTGAGGCTTGATCTCACGACTGTGAGATCATGACCTGAGCCTAAATCAAGAGTCTGAGGCTCAACCGACTGAGTCACCCACCCAGGTGCCCCATTCATTTTGTTTTTCATTTTTTTTTTTAATGAAGTTGACACGCAATGTTACATTAGCTTCAGGTGTACAACATAGTGAGTTGACTAGTGTATTTGTTATGCTGTGCTCCCCACAAGTATGGCTACCAATGGTCCCCAGACAATGCTATTACAGTACCGACAATGGAACATCTCTAAAGTACTGCAAGAAAAAAGTGTCAACCTCAAGTATGCCTAACATCCACTCCTATACACTATACTGCCACTGTCTCTTGTCTACACTACTGGAATAGTTTCCTAACCAGTTTCCCTACGTCCATCTGTGGCACTTTCAAATCCATTCTCCAACAGAAATCAGATTACTTTTATTAATATGCAAACAGAGCCCTGTAACTCCCCTGCTCACAAAAATGGTGGCCTACTTCCCTCTGAATAAAGTCCAAAGCCCTTGACATGGCCTGCAAGTCCTATCTACTTTTCCTACCTCTCTTCCGCTCCTGCCCCTCCAGTTCCCACTGAGTCAGCTTTTTGCAGCCTCAAAAGCCTCACGAGTGCATCCTCCTGGTCAAGAGAAGAACTCTCCCTCCCATTCCTACTTGTGTGTCTCACGTCAGGTCCTAACTGCAAAGCCCATAGGAAACCTTTCTTGACAACTCCCATCCTCCCAAACCCAGTTAGGCTCTAATGTGTTCCCGCAAGCATGGTGCACAGTACTTTTTCATCTAAGCACTCGTCAGTGTTTGTAAGGCTATATTTATTTGTGTGAAGATTTGATTGTTGTCATTCTTCCTCCTAGACAGTAGGTCCTTGACATTGGAATGGAATATGTAGCATGGAATATGTAGCAATAAATATCTGGCATATGGTATGCACTGAGCAAATACTTAGTAGAATAATGAGTGAATTATAGATGACCATTTTACCTCAGAATTATGAGGAGATAGGCTGGTGTCTTCTTTACAGAAGAAGAATACAGAAGGTTTTTCCTGTTCTTTCTGAAAGGATTGTGGGAGACCATTCTACTGTGCACGTCTCCAGAATTAGAAACCACCGAGGCAGACTTGAAGAAGCGCGTTATAGCTCCTGCCAAAGACAAGGATCAAGGCTCAGCCTTTGCCACGGCATCGCTTTCATTCTTGCTTACGCACCAGGGAGGAAATGGTTCACACTTGACAATCACACAATCAGGTGTATTTACTTTGCATGCCTACCTCCCCTAAGTCCCAGGCTCTTAGAATGTATACTGGTGGAGGCAGGAAGAATTTTTCTTCCCACTTCCCAAAACTCAAGGGAAGAGAATGGGACACAAAGGATCCGGCAGTTAAAACTGACACACGGGGTTGGGGCGCACGGGTGGCTTAGTGGGTTAAGCATCTGACTTCAGCTCAGGTCATGATCTCGCGGTTTGTGAGTTCGAGCCCCACATCGGGCTCTGTGCTGACATCTCAGGGCCTGGAGCCTGCTTCAGATTCTGTGTCCCCCTTTCTCTCTGCCCCTTCCCCCACTCACCCTCTGTCTCAAAAATAAATAATAAAAAAAATTTTTTTAATTAAAAAAAAAAAGTTTAAACTGACACAGAGGGCTGTGTGTTTGTGGCTCAGGGGAACAGGCCCAGCCTGAGTTCTACGGGCCCAGAACTCAAGGACCTACTGATATGAATGCGCCATGTTAATCATGGCAAAGTTCCACCCTTTATGGAGGCTTTAGGGTATAAAATGACTGCTTTGTTGCATAGGGTCCTAGAGTTGCAGAGGAAATCAATTCCATTTATATACTTTAAATAAATTTATAAGCAATAAAGGTCTAATACTGTAAATGACAAAATCTTTTCCCTTGCCAAGCACTTCAAACAGCAAACTCAACAATGGCAGTTAATGTATCATTCAAAAGACACTCACACAGGGGTACCTGGGTGGTTCAGTCGGTTACACGTCTGACTCTTGATTTCAGCTCAGGTCATGATCTCACAGTTGTGAGATCGAACCCTGCATCAGGCTCTGTGCTGACAGTGTGGAGCCTGCCTCAGATTCTTCCCCACTCCTCTGCTTGTGTCCGCTCTTAAACAAACAAACAAACAAATAATAAACAAACTTAAAAAAAAAGTCATGTAATCAATTAACTCATTACACTTGACTATTCCACCTGTGAATCCAAATGTAATCATCACCTCAAAGCTGGCTGACCATAATCAAGTCTACAAAAATGCCCCATTGAAATAATGCACCCTGGGGGAAAAATACAGTCTCAAGCCAGGGACACACTGACTCTTTAAGAGGGATTTAAAGCCTTACACCCCTGCCTTCTTCCCAGCAGTTCTATTCTCCCGTCTGGCCAGTGTTTCCTCCTGCAAAATTAAGGGCATTTCTACGGTCTCTCCCAGCTCTATCCACCTAAGGTTTTCCCATATTCAAGGCCTGCTGCAGCATACATGTGCACATGATCTGGTTTATTTTTAGCCCACAGGCCACTTAGGGATGAGGTAAGAATTCCAAGCGAGGTTCAAATTTGCAATAATACCAGTGGCCCAAGTACACAACTTCAGGCTGCCAAAACTTGGTTTAAAAATATCTTAGAGCTACTGAATCACACCAAACTATTTTACAACGAGAAAACTGCGATCCAGAGAAATCTCATTTCTCCTGATTTTCCTACTCATCTTTCAAGATTCAGTTCAGCCACACACCCATAAGACTCCCCTGACCACTCCCTGCTGTCATCCACTCCAAATATTTACTGACTGTTAGGTGCCAGCCCCTACTGCGGGCACTTGAGATCCACCAGTATACAACTGAGACAAAAATCCTTCCCCTTGAATAGCTTACACTGTAGCTGGAGACAGGCAATAAACAATAAGTATAATACATACAAATGGATACTATAAATCCTACAGTAGGTGGAAGGCTATAAATACTGTGGAGGTGGAGAATAGAGTGGGGAAAAGGAGATCGGGAGGGCTGGGGCGGTGGGGGGGGATTTGGATTGTGATTTTTAAATAGTCACGTAGGCCTTGTTGAGAAGGTGGCAGTTGACAAGAACCTAAAAGGGGTGAGGAAGTTAGTTATGCAGGCATCTGGGAGAAGAGCGTGTCAGGCAGGGGGACTGTCCATGCAAATATTCTTAGGTAGGAGTATGCCGGGGCGAGCACAAGAAACAATGAGCACACGGGTGATGGGGAAGGGATGGGTAGGAACTGATCATGCAGAGAGCTCTGGGGACCACTGCCAGGGCTTTGGCCACTGCACAGTTTGAGCAGAAGAGGGAGATGATCCGACTTCTGATCTCCAAGGTTCGCTCTGGCTGTTTCACTGAGAATAGAATGTGGTGGAAAGCAACAGAAGCACAGAAACCTGATGAGAGCTATTGCAGCAACTTAGGTAGGAGATGACGTCAGCTTGAAACAAATGGTAGCAGTGAAGGGAGACGTGGTGAGAAGTGGTTGAATTCTGGCCATATTTTGAAAATATGACCAACAGAACTGGTTGACAGATTGGATGGACTATAAAGAGAAAGAGTCTTTCTGAAGGTTTTCTTTTTTTCAACGTTTATTTTTTTTTTATTTTTGGGACAGAGAGAGACAGAGCATGAACGGGGGAGGGGCAGAGAGAGAGGGAGACACAGAATCGGAAACAGGCTCCAGGCTCTGAGCCATCAGCCCAAAGTCCGACGCGGGGCTCGAACTCATGGACCGCGAGATGGTGACCTGGCTGAAGTCGGACGCTTAACCGACTGCGCCACCCAGGCGCCCCTAAAGGTTTTCTTTTTTTAAGTCTCAGCTACATACTTACTAAATATTCCAATTCATCATAATGTGTCTTAATTTTTTCCCCATCTTTCACCCTGCACTAAGCTGAGGGAAGTCGTGCTGTAGCCACTTCCACATTCCCAATGCCTCCTGCAGCATTCCATACATATTTGCCAAATAAATGAACATTAAGCATGGCAGATGTGAGTTCACATTGGACCCAATACTGTCTTTAACATCTCTCTGCCAAGATGTGTTCTGCCTCCGGTATGAAAGTCCACTTGCTGGTTATCAATAGAGACGTGAGGTCAGTCCAGCCCCAATCTAACGAGTTCAGGCTCCACAGACTGGTCTCCCTTTCCTGACCGCGTTAGTTTTCTATTGCTGTGTAACAAATTACCCCAAACCTAGCGACTTAAAACAACACACATTTATAATATCAACTTTCCATGGGTTAGGAGCCCAGCCACATGGGTCCTCTGTTGGGTTCTCGAAAAGTCTACAATCAAGATGTCAGCCAGGGTGTGTTCTTACTTTGGGGGTAGAACCGGGGAAGATCCTGCTTCCAAGCTTATTCAGGTTGACAGGGCGGTTAATTTCCTTGGGCTGTACAACTGAAGGCTCCATCTTTTTGCCAGCTAGGGGCTGGGGGGATCCTGTTGTTCCTAGAGGCCACCTGCAGTCCTTTGCTATATGAGCTTCTTCAACATGTTCACATTCATCATCAAACTGGTAAGGAGAGTCATCGGTCTGTTAAAAAGAAGTGTTATACACCATAAAGGAATCCCAGGAGTGACATCCCAGCACCTTTGCTTTATTCTGTTAGGTAGAAGCAAGTCACAGGTGCCACACTTGAGAAGAAATTACACAAAGGCATTGGGGGTCACCTTAGGGTCTGTCCACCAGAACGACTTCTATCATTAGAATTTTTTCACCATGCCAGCAATTCTGACCCACTACTAGTTCTGGCATAGCAGGGCCCTCTAGAACTCGCTGTCCAATACACATGTGACTAGTGTGACAGAAGAAGTCAACTTTGAACTTCTTTAAAAATTTAATGAATTTAGGGGCCTCTGGGTGGTTCAGTCAGTTAAGCATCCGGCTTCGGCTCAGGTCATGATCTCATAGTTTATGGGTTTGAGCTCCACTATGGGCTCTGTGCTAAAAGCTCAGAGCCTGGAGCCTGCTTCAGATTCTGTGTCTCCCTCTCTCCCTCTATCCTTCCGCAGCTTGTGCTCACTGTCTTTCAAAAATAAATAAACATTTTTTTAAATTTTTAATTAAATTTAAAAACTGATACTCAACTCAGTTATTGGAGAAATTTTTATGTGTCTTTGGAACAACCTGACTATATATATCTTTTTCAACTAACTTTTATGAAATCTGGATACTGACCAAGTATTTCCCCTGAAACTTTAGCGTTCAAATTGAGGTGCGCTGTTAATTACAACATCTACATCAAATTTCAAAGACTGAGTACAAAAAATATCTCATTAATAATTTTTATGTTGATTACAGGTTGAAATGATAACATCCTGTATATATTGGGCTAAACAAATCATATTATTAAAATAATTTTCATCTCTTTCTTTTTCTTTTTTAATGCGTTACCAGTTAATTGAGTGTTACGTATGCGGCTCGCATTCCCCCACCTAGAGAAAATACAAAGAGGTGTTGGGCTTACAATAAGTTTGGAAAGACACACCATCAAAGTTAGCTAATAAGGCAAGACAATATCTGACTTATCTGACTAACGCCAAACAATAACTACCGTAGAAGGCCCGAGGAGGTAAGGAGGGGACACCCACAGGCCGGCCAAACTAGAGAAGGCGAGCCAGAAGTCGTGAGTTTTGAGCGAAGGCGCCGCAGGGCGCGCTGCGCACGCACCACCCTGCGCTCCGCCCGTTTGACCCCGCCGCCGCGCCGTAGGTCAGGCTGCACGCCGCCGGCTGCCATGGCGAATGTGTCCGAGCGGACGCTGCAGCTGTCTGTGCTGGTGGCCTTCGCGTCTGGAGTGCTCGTGGGCTGGCAGGCGAACCGGCTGCGGAGGCGCTACCTGGACTGGAGGAAGCGGAGGCTGCAGGACAAGCTGGCGGTGACTCAGAAGAAGCTGGACTTGGCCTGAGACCCCGCGCGCGCCCGCGCGCGCCCGCGCGCCCACCTCGCCTTGCGCTGGCGGGGCCTCCGGCGGGGCTCCGACACGTGACCTACGGTCTCCGTACACACTGTGCAGCGCCTTGCTCTTGATGGAGTCGGTGAGCGGTACTGACGGTACGGAGACTAAGCGGAGATGTCAGGGACGGGCGGATATCGTGGGGCAGGCGCGCCTGTGGATACCTTACAGGAGGTGACTCTCTCCCACAGACACCAGAGAGAGGAGGTTTTCTTTTCCCCCAAAAAACGTACACTGTGGTGTCGTAGTTCAGTTCACTGCGTACCTTTAGTGGGCATGCCTTACCACGTGCAGTATCGTTGCACCTTGACATTACACTTCTGGAAAGTAAGATACTGGAAAGAAGGAAAGGAAAAAAGAAAACGGATCGTGGGGGTATTCCGGCCACCTCCTTTCCCCCATGTCATTCTTTTCGATAGTATCCTTGGTAGATCTTGGTATATCTTTGCATTCATGTTTTGTAATCTCCAGTCTGAATTCTTTGGTTCTTAGCAGCCTGGTAAAGTGGAAAGAGCACTGGCCTGGAAGTTAGGAGCCTTGCATCTAGTGGTAGCTTTTTCATCAGAGCTATGCAAATTTTCTTACCTGTAACATCAGATCTCATAGTTCATAGTTTAACTCCACAAGACAATTTTAAGTTAACGATTATATATTTCTAATTGTTTTTCTCTTGTTTCCAGCAGTGTGTCGAAGATGGATACAGAACACTGGACAGATCTAATTTCTCCTTGCACTTTATGAGTCAATTTTATTTTCAAAATAAAAAAAAATTTTAAACCTCTTTGAATCTTTTATCACAAGGAAAAGGAGTATCTTGCCTGGCAAGCAGTTCACTGCATCAAAAGATCGGGATTCTCCAAACTCATCTGTTAGTGTTTTGAGCAGATAATCTTTTTTAAGGAGTATATGGCAATTCCTTGGTACAACTGCAAAGGAGAGTTGGCCCAGGGACCATTAGGAGTCCTTTTGCCCTTTGTGCAGTAAAGCAAGGGACTGTGTAAACATAACCGAGTTAAGGATGATGTATGTAAGACTTTTGCACTTATGAGAGTGACAACATACTCCAATTTTTATTGGTAAACACTTCATTTATGTGTTACTATGTTATATACATTAAAGGAAAACCCCTCTTGACTAGAGCTTAGTGATAAATTCCAACTGTTATCCAAAAATCAAGAGTGACTAAGGCCTTGTCTATTTTTAATTTGTAAGAGGTGTTTTCTATAACACTGTCCTTGCTCATTCTTACAAAGATTAATTTTGTGTCTCAGCACATTAACATAAGAAAATTCAAACAAGTTTCCACACAAAGCTTTTATTTTTTATTTTTTTGTTCCATTTTACTGGAGCCATCATGCTTTATTACTTCCAACTCTTATTTTCCTTCTGTGAACACAAAGACTAAAATGTTGGTTCTTAGAGCTTATCCCATCTGGCCTGCAGTTTGCTTCTCAACCACATAGAAGATAGAGGCCATTAGGCTAGAATTCCCTCATTGTTCTTCCTCTCAATAGCTCTGTTGAAGGGCAGTGGTTTTCAAAAGGGCTGCACAATATAATCATCTAGAAAGCCTTAAAAATATCAGCATGCCACAGATTTCCATTTATGTAGTTTGGGGTATGCCTGAGCATTAGGATTTTTAAAGCTCGCCAAGTGATTGTGATGCCCAGCAGTGGTTCAAAACCACTGGTTTGGAGGCTTTATCTCATTGGCTTTTCCTTTCTCACAAGAGAAGATGCACACATCCCTTCCAAGGCTGACTCCTCTTTGGCCTCCGTTGGATTCTGCATCTCCCAGCCCCCTTACTTGTTCTCTAGGACACAGTGTATTTCTAGCATCTGCAGTCTCTCCCTGCTTTCCAAATTCTTTTTACAAACCTGCACAGATCTTGACTTTGGAAAAAAATCTTTGGTTGGCCCCATCATTTGCTAATTAGAAAAAATGGCCCACTATCACTTCCTAAATGCTTTGCCCATTAAACTCCTGGAGTCTTGGGGCGCCTGGGTGGCTCAGTCGGTTAAGCGTCTGACTTCAACTCAGGTCACGATCTCGCGGTCCATGAGTTTGAGCCCCGCGTCGGGCTCTGGGCTGATGGCTCAGAGCCTAGAGCCTGCTTCGGATTCTGTGTCTCCCTCTCTCTCTGCCCCTCCCCCATTCATGCTCTGTCTCTCTCTGTCTCAAAAATAAATAAACGTTAAAAAAAAAACTCCTGGAGTCTGCCCTCTGCATGCTCCAGAGCCATTGTTATCGAATGGCCATTTATGAATTTTTAATTTTCACCTCCAGAGTATTTGATAATGCCAGTTTCTCCCTGGAAATTATTCTTGCCATACTTCCCTAATAACATAAAATTACCCACGTTTCCAAACTTTTACTACTGCTTCCTTTTCCAAGTTCCTGAAATTTCAATCCTTGGGCCTCTGCTCTATCCTTTCCCTTTGATTACCAAGCCAGTCCCCAGGCTTAATGGACACATCCAAGCAGAACCCTCTCTAAGGTATTTCTATCCTACCTGATCCTTTTATTTCCAGCTTCACCCTTTCAAGTGTCTAGTGGGTGTTTTCACTGGTAATCTTCCTCGAGAACTCAAATCCCATGTGTACAGTTCACTTGGCAGGGAATTCTGCATGCCAGGTGGCACTTCCATGACAATCTTTGGTAGTTGGTACAGCTTCATGATTCTAGTCCACCACCCTAGCTCATAAGCTCTTTGAGGCCAGTGCCTTAAACATCTTGTGCCACAGGTCTAACCAGTGCTTTGCACCAAGGTGCTCATAAATATTTGACACTTTTATTTGAGGTGGATTGTCTTAAGATCCTGAAATAGACAATTTGCTCTGTCCTCTGCTGTAATCTCTCATTAGCAGGTCCCTAACTACTTAGTTCTGCTAACTGTACATAATGAGCCTCTCAAAAGCCATTGAATACGTTTTCAGTGTCTCCTGTAAGGTAGCAATACAAAGTTAACATTCATTTTAACAGAGTTGGAAGGAAATCATAATGAGTTTTACAAACTAGCTTGTTCTCAGGAGAAATAGTCATCATGCTTTGCTTTGCTTTTGGCAACCTTCCTACCAACCTTTCTTGTTTTAGGTTACCTTGATTTTCATAATGGCAAGAGAAAAGCAAAGACTGTTAATGTGACTGCTGAGCATCAAAAATCAAAAGAAATGTAAATTAAGGAAAAAGAAGGCAGCTGAGTACTCTCATCCCTTATAGCACACTAAATACTATTGAAATAGTATTTCTCAACCTTGAAAGCGCACATGAAACACTGAGGTATTATTAAAACATAGGTTCTGATTCTGTAGGTCTGTGATGGGGCCCGAGAACATGCATTTTTTCTTTTTTGAGAATATGCATTTCTAACAAGCTCCTAGATGATGTTGATGATGCTGATCCAGGACTTAAAGGAATAAATGGTTATAACTCTGAATATAGTACAAAATGGATAAAATCAGTCATCTTTCCACTTGAGATGAACAAGAGTAATCAGCTTTTTTGCATCCTTCCTCATCGCTCATACATATACATACATGTAGGGGGTTTATTTGTTTATTTTTACCAACATAGAATTATACCATATTCATGACTGCAACTTTTCCATTTAAAATATGGAAATCCTTATAGATCTGATCTACAATATTTTTTTTCTAATTTATACATGCATATTTAAATAAGGATTTCATAAATGATGGATTTTGCTTACCTCTTACAATAGCACTCCTTTCTCATTTGTTGTTATAAACCTGTTTTTTTGTTTGTTTGTTTTCACACAGAACGCTTCAGGGGGCACCTGGGTGGCTCAGTTGGTTAAGCGTCTAACTTTGGCTCAGGTCCTGATCTCAACAGTTCTCGGGTTTGAGCCCTGCGTCTGGCTCTGTGCTGACAGCTCAGATCCTGGAGCCTGCTTCGGATTCTATGCCTCCCTCTCTCTGCCCCTCCCCTGCTTGTGCTTAGTCTCTCACTCTCTCTCTCAAAAATAAATAAACATTAAAAAAAATGTTTTTAAATATAGAACGCTTCAGGAATTTGCCTGTCATCCTTGCACAGAGGCTATACTAATCTCCTTACGGTTTCAGTTTTAGTATACGAGCTGCCCACGTGAGCACTGTTACAAATCTTTTTTTTAATTTAATTTTTTATTTTTTTTAATTTACATCCAAATTAGTTAGCATATAGTGCAACAATGATTTCAGGAGTAGATTCCTTAGTGCCCCTTACCCATTTAGCCCACCCCCCCTCCCACAACCCCTCCAGTAACCCTCTGTTTGTTCTCCATATTTATGAGTC